AGGGCTACATAATATTTACTAATTTTTATGATTTATTTCACTAAGAATATATTCACTTAAATTTCAATAATTTTAGTTTTTTTTGGTGTGCGAAGTTCCGGAGCTATTCAGGGCAGGTAGTTATGGGTGCCTTGTGGACATCAATGGCAGTTGACCGTTGAGGCAGTTTGTTGCACGTACGATTTCTGCCCAACCCCCCACACGGGTACACACAGTCTCAACCCAATCTCGTTTCCCTCCCCCTCCCCCTCAATCTGCAATCCTTCCAGGTTGCGTATCACGGCTTTCAGGAGCTGCCCGTGGATGTACGGAAGGTACGGCAGGGCCAGGGGCGGGAGGGAGAAGGGGGAGGGGTTGGGTTGGTTCCTTGGGTAGAGTTGGGGCAGCTATTCGGTAGCCGTGTTTTTCCCCTCGGTAGTTGGTGGTTTACAGTTGGTAGTTGGTGGTTACGTTAACGATGAAGTTGGTGACGTTTTAGTGGCATTCAGCCGTCTTAGCTCTTTAGCGGGAACCGCTTTTTTGCCCTGGGGCTGGTCTGTAGGAATTGTGGAAGGGGGGGTTCGTGCTGAAGGTTTTGGGTTTCATCTCCCCGCCCCCTCCTTCCACCTCTCCACCTCCCTCCCCCCCCACACACATACACACGCCCCCCGTCGATCTTTCGCCTCACACTGCCCTCACCTGCCCGCTACTCCTCCCCCGCCCCCTGCGCCTCCTAACCCCCCTCCAACTTTTCCCCCGTACACAATCACACACACATACATACTTACATACACATGCACGCCCCGGCCAGTCCGTGTACAACGGTCACCACTCCTCGGGGGCTGCCGGCGCTGGTGTGTTTGACGAGGCCGGGGGGTACGGCATGGTGGACACGTTGTTCAGTCTGGCTGAGGCCTACCTGTACATGCAGCTGGTGGAAATGAAGGTGTGAAGGGGCGTTGGAAGGGGGGGAAGGGGAAAGAGGAACCTGTGTTTTTGGGGGAGGGGTGGGTATATATCATATATGAAAGATCATGTGCAAGAAACTAAACAACAGGAGCGGGGGAGGGGGGGAGGCGGGGAGGGGGGAAGGGCGGGGGTAAAAGGAGGGGGGAGGGGGTTGCGGTTTGTCGTGCAGTTGTACGAGGACATCGGGTGGGTTGGGTGGGTGGGTGGGAGGTTTTGAACCCCACCCACCTTGTGTTCCATCAAACAGGCACGCACACGTACACACATACACACATACACACATACACACATACAACGCAAACCAGAGACTGCTTCCCATCCACCTCTCTCTACCATTACAACTCCTCAACACACGCGCCTTCAAAACCCTAAGTATTCTCCCCCCTCCCCCCCTCCCTCCCTCCCCCCCTCCCCCCCGACCGCCAACATGCCCCTCCCGGCAGGATGAAGGTCGACATGAGATTCTGCGCCGCAAGAGCTACAAAGTGCGGGGGGGGCCGGGGGGGGCTGGGGGGGGGAGGGGTACCTTGGGAAGCCATCTGTATGTACCGCCGTATGTATGTACCGCCGTATGTATGTATGTATGTGAATGTATTGCTTGTTACGGAGGAAGCCTGGTCGCTTCACTACAGCAGCTCCCGAGAGTTGTGCCCGTGTGCCGTACGGACGGTTACCGTACGGGTGCGTGTGTCTCTCTCTCGTGGAAGCTTAACACATAACAAAATCAATACACACATACGTACACCTCCACCACCACACCAACAACCCCAAGGCATCCCCCTCCGTTCTGCTGTCCCCCTATCCAGTAACCACTAACCACCAACCACCAACCCCCGATACCCCCCATCCCGCTGCACCCCCCCCCCGTCCCCCCCCTCCAGGATCTCTACCGCGACCTCCGTACGGCAGTGGACATGTGTCACCGTGACGGCTCCTTGAAGCGGGCGGTGGCGGCCAACCCGGAAAAATTCATCCACCGGGACGAGCATCTGGTGCATGTGAGCGTGTGTGTGCGTGTGTGTGTGTATGTGTGCGTGTGCGTGTGTGTATGTGCGTGTGCGTGTGTGTATGTGCGTGTTGGGGAGAGAGGAGGAATCAAGAACAGAGCCAAGGGTGCGGGAGTGGAAGGGGAGGTGTGTGCGTTTGAAGTTGTTTATTTGTTTGCATGCCCGTTTGTCCGTCTGTTAGTCTGTATCTGCCCGGCTGATCGGCCAAGTTCCCTATCTTGGCAACGTGCCCTTTCTGCAGTACAAGTTCCGTACAGGTATTTAATGTTGTCGCCGGTACTTTGGGCGCCGGCTGTAGTTCCTGGATTTCCTTGCATTTCCTGCTCGTGGGCCCCGTACCACCGCTCTTACATACATACATACATACATACATACATATATACATACATACATATATACATACATACATACATACATACATATATACATACATGCATACATATATACATACATACATACATACATACTTCCCGTTTATCGTTTGAGTACTTTTCAAGTTAGACCCAGTGCTGTGGAAGGGCGCGGACTTGTGCGGTGTTACCCCCCCGACGGGGGCTATCTCCCCTGGACTAGCCCAGGGAGGGAGAGGCGGAGGAGGGTAGTAGTCTCAGGAGGCTGTTTGGCGTCTTGTGGTGTGAGCTCTTTGCGCTCTTTTTTTGCATGAGGATTTTTGAGCTTGGTGACCTCCCCAGCCCGGGATGACTCGTCGGGCTCCCGGTCGCCCAGGTCCTGGTTGCGAGCTCTCTGAGATGCTCGGTTCGTTCGGTCGGCAGGAAGAGCCCCCCAGTTGCGACTTCGTTTATGTTAGGAGACCAACGGGCATAGATCCCGTCTAGTTGGAGCGCCAAACAAGCGCTGTTGCGTGCCGGCCGTCGTTTCCCGTGCGGCCTGACCCGGGGGCGGAGTGCATGAGACTAACCAGATGTATGCACCCGCCCCTCGCGCTGTGCTTCGGCCCTGGGCCCCCGGCTTTTCAGCCCACAGTGTAATCAACGTCATACATACATACATGCATGCATACATATATACATACATACATACATACATACATACATGCATACATATATACATACATACATACATACATACATACATACATACATACATACATACATACATACATACATACATACATACATACATACATACATACATACATACATACATACACTTACATACATACATACATGAACATACATACATGAACATGCACACAGGTTCTTGAGACCCACCGCGCCAGTGGCCGCGCTGTGTTCCTCGCGACCAACTCGCTGTTCGACTACACCAACGTGGTCATGAACTTCCTCATATCGGGGAGAACCGGTGCGTGTGTGTGTGTGTGTTAGGGGGGGAGAGTGTGTGGGTGGGGTGGGGGGGAGGAGAGCGGGGGGAGTGTGTGGGAGGGGAGAGGGGGAGTGTGTGTGTGTGTTTTCACGACATGAAGAGAGGGGGAAAATGTGTGTTTTCATGGGTGGGGGGTGGGGTGGTTATGGCGGTAATGGTGAGCAGGGAGAGGATAGGAGCTCCGGATACATGTAGGCGGTTGTAGGGTGGTTGGTAAATGGAAGGGTTGGTATGAAGTTCGTTGTTTTGGCCTACCTGCCGTACACTTATTGCTGCCCTACCTACCTGCCTACCTACCTACCTACCTACCTGCCTACCTGCCCCCCAGGTCCTCAAAAGACCTGCGAGTGGTTGCAGTACTTCGATGTCGTGATGGTGGGTTGCGCCAAGCCCTCCTTCTTCCAGCACAGGGCTCCGCTCTTCTCTGTGGACGTCAACACAGGTAGGGAAGGGAGGGGGGAGGTGCAGCCTGAGGGGGTGAGAGGTTGGGGGGAATGGAGGGGGTGGTGGGGGGGGGAAATGGAGGAGGTGTTTGTGTGTGGGGGGGGAATGGAGGTGGTGGTGGGGTACATATTATATGTTGTAACAAATAATGAATTACAAGTACGGATGTACGACGTGTCTTCCAGGTCACACTCTGGCTAGGTCCAGCCACATCCAGCCCCACACTTCCCCAGCTCTCCCGGGGAAGGGGAAGGGGGGGTAAGGTATCGCAGTTTCTCGCACACACGCATGTGTTTACCCATATGTTTGCCACCCGGAGCCGCGAACACGCCGGCTCTTGAATAGGACCCTCACATATACGATTATGAAAGCCCCCCTTCCCTTCCCCCGCCGAAAAAAACCGCTACCCCGCTACCCCCCAACCCCGCAACAAGCAGGCATGCTGAAGAACACTGATAACGGCGCGCCCATCACGCCGATAGATGAGCAAGATATGGCCGAAGAGAACGCGGCGGCAATCTCGTCCGCACCCGCCCTTCCGCCGCCACCAGCAGCCGCAGCCAGTGCTGGTGGTGGTGGTGGTGGTGGTGATGACGGTGGTGACGGTGGTGAAAGCAGCAACGGCACGGGTGCTGCTACTGCTGTTGCTGTTGCCGCTGGTGCTGCTTTCCAGTCGCCAATCCGCGGCAGCAGCAGCAGCGGCGGCGGCGGCGGCGGCGGCGGTAATGTGTTTCAGGGCGGTTGGTATCTGGACCTCCACAAAATGCTTGGAGTAACGGAGGGTGAGTGGGAGGGATGTAGGCATACAGACAGACATACAGACAAGGATTTAGACAAACAGATATAAGACAGACATACAGATATACAGACATACAGACGATACATACAGATTTACAGACATGTAGAGTTAGTGACAGACAAACTGACAGAGACGTCGGACAGCCGAGGACTCAGGGGGGGGCTGGTATAGGGATTGGTGGTTATATCTTTTGGCGGGGGTCGGAGATGCGGGTGCCGAGTACGGATATCCGTACATATCCGCTTTGTCCTCGTCAACCGTCATTTAAAAACGCCGCTTCGCCTCTCGCAAAACCACTCAACTATCAACCGCCAACGGGCAATGCGGTACAGGCAGTCAGGTGTTGTACGTTGGTGATCACATCTACGGTGACATTGTCAAATCCAAAAAGGATATTGGTTGGCGGACGATGTTGGTGGTTCCGGAGCTGGAGCTGGAGCTCGAGAAGCTCGGCCGGTCTATGGTGGGTTTTGTGTTTGTGTATGTGTGTGGGGGGGAGGAAATTGCCCCCCCGCACCTCGTGTGACCGCACCTCGTGTGACCGCACCTCGTGTGACCGCACCTCGTGTGACCGCACCTCGTGTGACCGCACCTCGTGTGACCGCACCTCGTGTGACCGCACCTCGTGTGACCGCACCTCGTGTGACCGCACCTCGTGTGACCGCACCTCGTGTGACCGCACCTCGTGTGACCGCACCTCGTGTGACCGCACCTCGTGTGACCGCACCTCGTGTGACCGCACCTCGTGTGACCGCACCTCGTGTGACCGCACCTCGTTTTCTTTCCCAAGATTGTGTGAGTTTATTCTCTCGCTTGTGTTTAAATGTTGTAAATGTGGTAAATGTTGTAAAATGGTTCGCTGTGTTTCACACACACAACTCACTAAGATACATACATACATATATACATACATACATACATACGCACCATGCAGAAAATGCAAGAGGAGTTACGGCAGTTACGGCAGTTGCGGGACGAGTACGACGACCGGATCCAGCGGTTGAAGTGGAGTATTCGCTGCAGCAGCAGCCGCCAGGGGGCCCCGGGGGCCTCCAGGGGGGGGGAGGACGGATCCGCCGAGGCGCAGGTGCGTTGTGCTGGGAGTGCTGGAGTTCCCCCCGCCTGGGGATGGTGGTGGTTGGGTGGTTGGGCGTATGGTAGGTGATGGCGATTCATCATTCACATTTGGCGCCAAAAATCTTTGTTTTCCTCGCGAGTTGTATACCCGTGTCCTTACATACACCAGTCGACATGTCCAACGACCACTAACGGCTTTTTACTGACCCTACACGGCTGTCTCTGTTTTCTTCCCCTCTTCCGCCTTATTACCCTATTGCCCCGCAGCTCCACCGCGATGCTCTGCAGTTGCTGGAGGCTGCGGAGGCGGACAGGGCGCAGCTGAAGTCCCGTCACAGCGCCCTCCTCCGCGCCCACCACCGGCAGTTCCACCCCATTTGGGGGCAGCTCATGAAGACGGGGCACCAGAACTCCAGATTCGCACACCAGGTGAGTGTGGGAGTGGGAGTGGGAGTGAGTGTGGGAGTGGGAGTGGGAGTGGGGGTGGGGGTGGGAGTGGGAGTGGGGTGAGTAGAGGGTAGTGGGAATGGGAGTGGGGTGTGAGTAGAGGGGAGTGGGAGTGGGAGTGGGGTGGGAGTAGAGGGGAGTGGGAGTGGGAGTGGGGTGTGAGTAGAGGGGAGTGGGAGTGGGAGTGGGGTGGGAGTAGAGGGGAGTGGGAGTGGGAGTGGGGTGGGAGTAGAGGGGAGTGGGAGTGGCGCAGTGTTGGAGTGGTCATAGTAGTGGGAGTGGGGAGTGGGGAGTGGCGGTCACCACCTCCCTGACCCCGCAAGCCGCTGAAGAGTACCCTCCCCCGGACGACTACTGATCCATCGCCTGATGCCGCCGCTTCGCAACAACCCTTCCCCCCCCTCAATCGTGTGTGGTTCGTCTTTCCCCCCCACACACACACACACGCGCACGCGCACGTGCGCACACACACAGACACAGAGTGTGGTCATAACCCACTACCCAGTCCCCAATCCAAACCACCATCCCACAACATGCCTCCATCCTCTGGTATGTCGTACGGAACCGTGTCGTGCCGTACTGCACGCCGTACTGTACTGCAGATTGAGCGTTACGCCTGCCTCTACACGAGCCACATCAACAACCTGGCCTTCATCTCCCCGGAGAAGAGTTTCATGGGCCGAATGGATTTGATGGCGCATGAGTGGGAGGATGAGGAAGCGGTCATGGGGGGCCTGGGGGTGTCGGGGGTAGGGGTGGGGGTGGGGGTGGGGGGTTCCAAGTCGAAGGGCGGTCAGGCTCGGGAGCCGGGGCGGTGAGGGGGCGCTTCCCCGCGGCCGTGATCACCGTGATCCGCTCGAGGCCGCGTGTCCGATGTGAGTGTGTGGAGGGTTGGGTTGGGTCGGGAGTCCCACTCGGGACTGGGTTCGAGGGGGGGTCTTCTTCTAGGAAGTTGCCGGAGGGAGGTAGTGGTGGCGAGGCGACGACGCGGGGTGAATTGGTGCTTATCGTTGCGTATTCTGTTGGCACTTGAGCACATACATACATACGTACAGACAGACAGATGGACAGACAGACAGACAGACAGAGATAACCCAGGCAGACGGATCCAAGAATTAAACATGCAGCTATGTGTGTGTATGTGTGAGTGAGTGAGTGTGTGTGTGTGTGAGTGAGAGTGTGTGTGTGTGTGTGTGTGAAAGAGAGAGAAGGGTGGGGGAAGGGAGAAGAACTTGGACACAAGACACGAATCTCGTGGAAGCGGCCAAGGAGCTAATGCCGCTAAGGAAGGAGAAGAAAAGAAAGAAGTTACAACAGCGACAGGAGGGGAAAGAAAGGAGCGGGAAGAGCCAGGTGAAGGGTGCGAGAGCGGCGGTGCGGAGGAGGGGGACATGCACCTCACCTGAAGCCTGCCGGACGACCACCTCGCCTGCTCCTGAACTTGCTTACTTTGGGAGGAGCACTACAGGCGATTTTTTCGACGGGGACGTTTTTTCTTCAGGCAATTTTTCTGGGTGAGCAAACTGTTTTAATTAATTAAAAGGAGATTTTGTGCATTTTGTTATAATGCGATGAAAGGTTGTTTTTACCGAAATGGCTCGAAATATGAATTACCGGCTTTGTCGCGGTGGTTGCTGCCGTTGTTGTTTGTTGAAAGCTGCTCATGACTTTGATGTGATGAAGAAGGAGTGGAGGAGGCGAGCTAGTGTAAAGGAGGAGGAGGAGAACGCACGGCTGGCCAGCGGCGGATGCAACCGCTGCTCTGTTTGAGCTCTTCTTAAAGGAGGAGCTGCGGCTGGTGATTGGCCGCTATTGGACGCGACTAACCTGCAATTTAAAAAAACAGATTAAGCATTCGTGCGAAGTATCATCTCATCGCATGTATGAGATTCCGAGTCTTTGACTAGAAGATTTTGGCGACCCTTTCCTTCAAGTCGATGAAAGGGCAAAACCGGCGCATACCAAGTCGTGTAATGAAACTGATGATCCTTGCATTTTGCATATTAGTAGGGAACTTAGCATGGTAGGCATCCTTTCGAAGTGCGTAATCCATGGATACTCGTTATGGGCGGTGCCTCAAGATTTGCTGTATTTTTGAGAGCTGTGAATGGGCAGGGGTGTCTTGCTTGAGGCACCGCCCATAACGAGTAACCATGGATTACTTATTCCGAAAAGATGCTTACCATGCTTTTCACATGAACTGACACGAATCGTTGATCATTTTTTACTATAAAACCTTAACACCGTTACTTGCAGCTAACAATGTTTTTTGACCAGAACGGGGATACACATGTTTTTACTTAAAATCGTTGAAAACCCCGCAAGACCCATAAAACCCAGACGAGCCAGGAGGCTCAAAAACGCGAGGTGTAGCGTTGTCAAGCATTCTGTAAAAGCCGACCTTTATATATCCAGTTGCTTTTTCCAGGATGCGAATTTCCGCGCGAAGTACATGGCTAAGGCAGGAATGCTCGTCATTTCACCAAAACGAAAGTGAAACGACGACGTTTGGATCCTAAAACTGTTAGTGGACTTGTTCCAAGTATTGAAATATGTACCTCTGTACAGCGTATGTTAATTTAAATCCAAAGATGTATACATAGTAGGCATTCTTGTCTATCTTGTTGGGAAACTTTTCATCATCATCTGTCAGCGTGCACCCGCGAGTCAGCTCAGCAGCACGCAGCACGCAGCAGCGCAGCAGGTTTGGTCGCTTCAGTGAGCCATGTGTAGACAAGGCACTTCACTTTTTATGCATGGTTAGGAACTTTCCATTCCATTCCGTTACAGTCAACCGAGTTTTGCCCCGGCCGGTAGCCGATCGGCAGGGTAGCCTATATCGGTAGGTTACAGGCCGGTAGGTAACTCCCCCCCAAAGGAAACGGGCTAAAGATGCCTTGTCTTAATCTGCACTACTAATTATCATCATAACATCCAGTCATATGACATGGTATCCTTCAGGTCGCGGGCTCCTCTTCCGGGCAGGTATGGCCGCATTCAGCGCATCCACCCAGTCGCCTCCGTTAGTTCGGAAACGCAGCAACGCCAGGACCACATCGCAGATATTGAGCACGGCCCTGAAGGGGGTGTCCACGGGGGGGGGGGGAGGTGAGTGCGGGGGGACCGAATACTGGAGACGGGCAGCTTCCGAAATTCTGAAAGGGAAAGCTTCCCCAGTAACCCTTCCATGAGTCTATACATACAGACGCACAAATACACACAAGAGACACACAGAGACACACACGCACACAGACACAGACACACACGCGGCGTGACTCCTCCTCCCCCTCCCCCTCCCCCTCCCCCTCCCCCTCCCACCTGCGAGACACTCCCGGCCCCAACCCCAGCTGCTCCGCGTGTTCCAGGGTGGGCAGACGCCGTACCTCCAGCGAGTGGCTGATCTGCATGAGGCAGGAGAAAAACCGCTGCACGCACGTATATCTGTTCACGATATATAACTACATAACAACCGCCAATTCAATGCTGATATTTGCAACACACACACACACACACACACACACACACACACACACACAACACGGAGACGCCAATACGCGCATACGGGGAGGTGTTGATGCGGGGGGGCGGGAGGGTGTCGCAGCGTTATAAAGAGAGAGAAAAAAACCGCCGACTCGGGCTCAATGATGATCACATCAGGCCCTGTAACGCCCCTTCATCAATGACCTCTACATGCGACGACTCGTGGCTGTACCTTCTGCCTCCTAAACGTTTTGTCGCATGCGGTGCTCCGTATAGCACCAGCACACACATACATACATACATACATACATACATACATACATACATACATACATACATACATACATACATACACACATACACATACAAACCTACTGCGAAGCCCGCAGTAACGCCCCGCATTATGGACCGATCCACGATGCCCCCAACCACATACACACGCCGCTCGTCCAATGCCGTCAGCGGCTCCTCAGCGTCCGGGGAGAGTACGACAATCTCCTCACTGCCGTACAGCTCCAGGGTGGACTGTGTCCGGAATGGAGACAAACGAACACAAACCAACCCCCCACGATGGTCACCCCCCCCCGGTGAAGTGAGGGAGGAAGAGAGGGGACAGAGGGAGAGGAAGAGAGAGAGAGGGAAAGGGGAAGAAAGAGGGTCTGAGAAAGAGTCTCGCATGTGGCGGGGGCCTCATTCGGTGGTGGAGGGAGGGGCTAGGCAAGGTGTGAAAGGTGCGACTTGGAGCGCACGAACGACCCCCCCCTCTCAGCGCTGAACCCCCTCCACTTCATTCCACTCCGGACCTGGCTGTGTTTCACCAGCGGCCAGGCGGCGGCCCCCATCTTCTCTTCCGCATACGCCGACAGCTGCCCCCCCCAGCAGGTCACCTAAGGGGGAGCCCCCGGGGGCGGGTGGGGGGGGGGGGGTAAACGGAACGGAGGGTGTGTGTATGTGTGTGTGTGTGAATGCGGTGGTTAAATGAGGCTGACGGAGAGAAGTACACACACATGCATACATGCATACACACACACGCAATTCATGTTTGTTTTCCATCCTCACCCCTCACCCCCTGAGCCCACCTGCAAGCACACCGGCTGCTCAGACCGCCGATTGTGTCCCACCGCCGATTGAATTTGCTTGGCCAGGCTGCGCAACTGATGCAGCGAGAAGGCGAGGTGAGGTGAGGTGAGGTGAGGGGTGGGGTGAGGTGAGGTGAGGTGAGGGGTGAGGTGAGGTGAGGTGAGGTGAGCAGGCAGGCAGGGAGGCGGGGTGAGGGGCAAGATGTGGGGCAGGGAAAGCGGCGGAAGGAGGGGGTCTAAAAGAGGCGGGAGGAGGGGGAAGCAGCCGCGGCGGAGGGGTAATCAATGGTGGTGGTGGAGGTAACCAAGGGACCTGTTGGGATGCGCGCGGGTAAGTAATATGTTCTAGTAAAATATGTTTTAAAAAATAAACAAGCTAATAGAACATAAATGATGTACGCCATGTACGGACCTCTGCAGGTGACTTGACAGTTTCCATGAAACCGCAGTCGATTACCAGTCGCAGGGTGGTGGTTCCGGAGCCGTTCCCGCCACCGCCCGCGAGTGCTGCTGCCAATCGCTCCCTGCGCCGCGCCGCCTCTCGTAGCGCCGCTCCGATCTCATCCATTGCTTCTATGCCTTTAAGTTGCGTAGGCGGGCGCTGAGAATGACAGTCTGCACAGCCTCCTCCTCCTCCTCCTCCTGCTAGAGCTACTGCTACGTCTTCTACCCCGCCCATTCCACCTATTCCTCCTTTTCCTGCACCGCCGCCCTCTCCTAGATCCGATGGATCCATTGGATCTGCTGGATCCGTTGGATCCTTCTGGAAATCAGATCCTCGTTTTTCTGATTTCCCAACGACCTCGGAGTCGAATGCTGAGGTGACTGTCGCGACTATTGGTGGTGCTGATGAAGACGGTGAAGAAGAAGGAAATGATGATGATGATGGTGATGATGATGATGATGAAGATGATGGTGACGTGCCGTCCTGGCTATAGTAATGGTGGTGGGGGTCGTGGACGTGACAGTAGTGTTCGTGGCTGTGGAGGCGGCGGTTGTGGCGGTTGCGGCGGTTGTGGCGGTTGTGGCGGTGAGGGGAAAAGCTCCGACGGGGGCGTTGAAGGCAGGAGGCGAGGACGCTACGTCCTCCTCCTCCCCCGTCTCGAAGGTTGAGGTGTGAGAGTGGCTGCGACCCGGCGTAGAAGTTCATACTTAGTGTTTTTGAGGAGCGTGCGAGCGAGAGAGAGCGAGAGAGAGAGAGGTGTATGGCTTGCAATGTGCTGCAAGCCCTCGATACCGGTAAACTCTTCCAGGCGGGA